ACACTATTCATCATTCTCTGGAACGTTGATGGAGCATTTGTAAGCCCAAAAGGCATTCTAACAAACTGATATAGGCCTTGTTTTGTCGTAAAAGCAGTCTTCTCTTTGTCTTTAGCTGCCACTCGAATTTGCCAGTACCCAGATCTTAAATCTAGAGTCGTAAATGAGACTGCTCCACCCAATGCTTCCAAGGTTTCATCAATTCTTGGTAAGGGGTAGACATCCTTCCTCGTTATCTTGTTCAGAGCTCGATAGTCCACACAAAAGCGAATCTTGCCGTCTTTCTTTCTTACCAGCACTACAGGAAACCCCCAAGCGCCGTTGCCTTCTTCAATTACGCCTGCACCCAACATCTTCTTGACATTCGTCTCGCCCACAGTGTCCTCCATTTGTGCAAGTCGTTTGCGTTTTAACAGAATAGGGGCCTCGTCGCCCGTCTCTATTTGATGCTCCACGTCGAGTGTAGTAGCAGGTGGGCAGTCACCTTTGTCCGCTACTTGGCTCCTATATACCCTCAGCAAACGCTTCATGAGCTCTCGTCCACCTTCGTCTTCGATGCCAATTTGTAGCTCGTCCTCATTTTCCAACGGAGTCTCACCATCTCCCAATTCACGCAACCATCCCAGCAATTGATCGCGTTGTAAGACGCCATTCATTTCGAGGATCTCCACATTTTCCTCGATAGGAATCCACGTCCCTAATTCTTTCTTTGAAGGAAGCTTGACCCTACCACCACTTGCATTAATGGCGGGCACCACTGCCTTTCCGTCTCGAACTTCCGTCACTGTCGTAGCCAACAAGATGGATCCCAGACGAACTGTGGGTATGAAGATGCCTTTCTCCCCATCCTCGCCTGTCACCGCAATCTATATGGGCATTACTGTACCTCCACGAACTTGGGTTTTTCGCGCCATGCGCACTACCGCAACCTTCACACCTTTTGCAGCGTCACTAGTCTTGAACGGTATTACTACCGAACGTCCTTCTTCCTCATATTTCAGCTCATTGGTTCAAAAATCCATAACAGCGCCGTGATCGTTCATGAAGTCCACACCAACTAGGAATTCGTTATAGCAACCCTTGACTATGCATGCATCCACGCACACGGTGTCGCCAAACACGTTCTCCAACTGGAAACGCCATACTCCTAGAACGTCTAGTAGGAATCCTCCTATTCCTTCGACATAATCCACTGGTGCTGAGCACGACACTCTGTCTCCGTACTTCACCCAACTCGTGCCAGCGATTGTAAACCTGGCTCCACTGTCAAGCTTCACGTACTATGTTACACCGTCGACCTTCATTCGTGCTGTAGGTAGTCCGTCGTTAGCTTCCACGTCAGATACCTTGCTTTCGGCTCCTTCGGTACTGCATCGTTGTACGAGGCTAACTCGTGCTCGTCCGCCTCTACCTGGTTCACCCTCTTCATTCCGTCCTTGTCGACGTTCCTCCAGCTGTTGAACTGCGTCTTCGACTTGTCGTTGGCGGTCTTGCTGTAGCTCAACTTTATTGGCTTGTTGCCGTTTGCTCTCTTGGTCGGCGGCATGTCGCTTCTCCAACGCACGCTTCACTCGCTGCCGTTTCTTCTGATTACAGGCCAATTTTCTGGCCACCCGCACCCTGGCGATGTCTTTGCTCACCTTATCGTCATCACCCGTGCCATACTCCAGATTCTCAGGTGTCAGATTGGTCTCCACGCCGACGCCTTCCTCAGATCCACGCGCATTGTTGTCGGAGCCAACTTTCTCGACGCCGTCTTTCGGTCGTGTAGCGTCCAAACATGCATATCGCATGGCCGTCATCGCTGGACGTACTGTTGCTACATAGCAAGCTGCCCGCTCACTGTCTTTCCCGGCTGCCTCGGTAGCCATACACTACCACATTTCCTCCAGCGAGTCCGCGCCACTTGTTGCCATCGGCTTCGTTACTTCTTGCACGTCCTTTCCGTTAGTGGCGTCTCCCGATCTTTGGTCTTCCTTTAACTTCCGGTTCTGCTGTCGAACTTCACACTCGGTCGACCATCCTTGCTGTATCCCGTTTTGCTTCATCTCCGCTGACTCCGTTGTCACGTTGGTGTTTATCGTCGTTCCTTGAGCTCTTGTCCCGCTACCTTGGACATCTGCACTCATCATCAGCCGGGGATCGTTATTCTCCGGTCGCCGTAACCCCTCTACTGCGCCGGTTCCGCGTTTCCCGCCACCTTG